TTTCTTTCTTCGAAGGAATGGTTTTTATCTTCTTTCTATTATAATCTCACTCTAAATTACTTCTAATGTATCTAATTTTTATTATATCTCACTCTTTTCTTTCAATAGTTCTTTCACCTATCTAAGCATACTCTTCATACCTTCTTTCTTAAATTCACATTATGAAGATATTGCTGAATAAATTCAAAATAATAATCACCCATTAATTAAGTTACTTTATTAATAGAAATAATTATTGAATTTTTATTTCCTAATAATTCCTAAATTAAAAATGCAAATGATCTATAAAGTTTTAATGTAGCTATCAGACATAAATTAAAATGGTAAAAATAAAAAATAAATGAAAGAAATTTTATGATTAATTAATAAATCTATACAATCTTAAGTTCTTAGATAGCTACAAATTATAAATAGGTTTTATCGAAATAGAAGTATTTAATGAGAAAATTTTATAAATTTCTACTAATTACTACTATACTTTTGTCATAAAGTGAATCTTAATTAGATGAAAAAGTGTTAATATATGAATAATTTGATATAAAAAAAATACTCTTAATTAATCAATAGTATAAAAATATTAATATATTATTAATAAAAATTTGGATAGTAAAAATATACTGAAAATTAAATCTTAAATGATAGTATGAACAGTAATCTATCAATAATTTTTTTTAAATATAATACTAACATTTTTTAACAGTGAATGTCAATAGTTTATAATATTTAAATATTTTTTTAAATTGCAATTTTCAACTTTCATGTTAAAATTAAAATCAATGAAAAATATTACAACCTATTGTATTATATTAATATTTTATTTCTAGATCAATAAGAAAATTGTTTTTATTTATTTTTCTTTTTATTAATAGTTTATCAATACTTTTAATATTAATATGATGTGATTAATAATAACATAAAATAATTTTAAAGCATTATATAAATTATAGAAGAAATGGCTTCTAAATATTTATAAAAATACCCAGTTCCTGAAGGATTCCACTAAATTTTACATGATTTTACAAGAGAAGTAGAAGTGATCAATTAATAAAGGTTTTGAGAGATTAACCAGAAGACATAATAAAATATGGTGTGGAATATTTTGAATGTATGAGAGACGGAAAAGAATTCAAATTTGAGAGCAAATTTAATATTGCAAAAGGATAGGCTCCAGGAAGATCACATCTACCTCCTAAACCAATTAATTCTATTGAATAAGCTAAGAAAGTTGTTGAAACATCCAATTAAAGAAATGATAATGAAAGGAAAGCTTCAGCTCCAAAAAAATAGGCCTCTGGTTCATCTCATAGAACAAGATAAGAGTCAGCAGGTTCATAAGCTAGTCATCCAGAAGAAAAGAAAGCAGCAAAAGATTATATTAACGAACTTTATTAAAAAGTGGAATAAGATATAGATGATATTGAGGCAGAAAGAATAGAAGCTAATAATGCATTTTTCTAGCCTCATTTTGTAATAAATGAAGTTTATATCTATATTAGGATGAGAAAGACATGGAGAAAATAGTTAAAATATAAGCAAGTGCTAAAGGAATGCTTGTTAGAAATTAATTGAAGTAATAACATTAAGTGGAGCCATAGATTGTGTATAAGGAAGATGAAGAGAAGAATGTTGAATAAGATATTTAAGATATGGAGGAAGATTAATGATTTAATAATTGATGGCTTCATATTTAAAATTGAATATTATAATAAAAATAATGAAACTGATATATTTTAATGAAAGAATTATCAAATTATATATATACTAAAAAATAATATAATAATTAATATTATTAAATACATTTAAATGGAAATTACAAATATCACTTTAGGTGAAGGAACAGTAGCAATTGTTAAATAAATAAAAATTGGAGAAAATATGTTTGCAATAAAGCAATTCAAGAAAAAATATGGAAGGAAGGAATATATTATTCATAGTTAATTGAATCATCCCAACATTGTAAAATTTATTGTTGGAAATGAAAAATTTATAGTCACTGAATTAATGATGCCATATGATTTATTTGAATTTGTTAAAATTGCAGGATAAATATCAGTAAATGCTTCAAATTGCATATTAAAATAATTGGTAGGTGCTTTAAAATATATGCATGAAGAAAAAAGAATTATTCATAGAGATATAAAATTGGAAAATGTATTAGTGGATGAAATAACTTACTAAGTTAAAATCTGTGATTTTAATGTAAGTTAAAGTTTGGATGAAGGAAAAGTAACAAATATTATTGGAACAGAAGGTTATATAGCACCTGAAATTAATTATATTGGATCAATAGATGCATTAAATTTAAAAGAATGTGATATCTTTTCTTTAGGTGTTTTGTATTTCACCTTACTTTTTGGTAAATTTCCATTCAAGACAACAGATAAAAGTTGTCCTTATTTCAAAATAATATAATAAAACAAATGGGATGAGTTTTGGTATTATACCTAAAAGAATATAGTTAAAAAGGTACCTCCTTTTTGTTTAGAATTAATTCAAGGAATGATTCAAATCGATCCTAAGAATAGATTAAGTTTGGATCAAATTCTTAATAACATTGAAAACATAAATGAAATGGAATACATTAATGAGATGAGTAGTATCTGTACAAACTTAAAGCGTCAACGGTGAGAGAAAAAAAAGAACAATATTGATGATTTGAAATTCTAACTCTGCGCATTTGGTTTGATTTATTATTTGAATTCTATTAAATTATTCTTATAAAATATAAATTCTATTAAAATGAAAAAATGTATTCAATAATTCAAATTAAATTAAAATAGAATTATTTTTTAATATTTAAAATTTGTAAAATTATTCTTGATATGAATATGAACATCTCATAAGAAATTTTGGGTTAAGGATTAACTTCCGATGTTAAAAAAGTATAGATCAACGATAAGGAATATGCAATAAAATTATTCAAATAAACTCGTTACTTATCATAAATAGAAAAAGAGATTAATATACTTTCTTAAATCTAACATACAAATGTTGTAAAATTTATAGAGGGCAATCCTGAGAAAAAGTTCATGATAATTGAACTTTTACATTAAATGGACCTCTTTGACATTTTAGCAAAAAAAAAGATGCCCTTTTAAATCGTTTCTATTAAATACTTAATTTCATAATTAGCAGCAACAATCAAATATATTCATAATTTGGGTTTTGTGCACAGAGACATCAAATTAGAAAATATTCTGTTTGATAAACAATTAGAAATTAAGCTCTGTGATTTTGGATTTGCTGAACCACTGCAAAATCAATTTGTTGTGAGGACTTTAGGTACAGAGGTATATTTGGCTCCAGAGTTATAAATTGATGGTGGAATAAACACTAAAGACTTACCTATAACAGAAGTTTTTTCATTAGGAGTATGTGCCTTTTAATTGGCATTTGTCCATCCTCCATTTAGATAAAGTACCAAAGGTTGTGGATTTTGGAGATTGATATCTAATAACGAATGGGATAAATATTGGTAGAAGATTGACAAATAAAATTTATATAATGAGGAATTCCGATAACTTATTTAAGGTATGTTGGAATCTGATCCAAAAAAGAGAATGACAATTGATTAAGTATTAGAACATTAATTCTTAATTGGTGGATGCAAAGAAACATTTTAAAACGAAATTTAGGAAAGAATGAAGATAGAATGAGATAATTGTAGATAGTTAAAAATGAAATGTGTATAATTTACTTGATTATTTATATAAAGAAATATAATAAATATATATATAAATGATGGTATTAAATTAATCTTAATAGAATCATTTAAAATTTATTTTATAATAACCTGAATAGTTTTCTGTTATTGTCTCTTCTTTATTACCTTTATCAATAGGTTAAAGTAGATATTTTGCATTTATATCAAATTTAATTTCTTAATCTAATTTACTCTATCCTTAAACAATTAAGTTATCAATATTCATATTGATTTTATCTGATGCTATTTTAGTGTATCTATTTGATTAAGATTTCAAATAATCTTTGCTTGAGAAACTTCGATAAACTGGTTCATCATTTAATTATTTCAATATAGATTATGTAGTTTCATCTTGATTAATAATACTAGGTTTTCTTATAACTTCATCATTCTATGACATCATAAATAAGGGATAACCACTATCATCATCTATTTCCCTAATTAAAGATTTTTAATTACAATATTTTAAATGTTTTATCTTCATTATTTCTATGTAAAGAGTCATTTGTATTACAATACTCTTATTTTCTACGAAATCTATAACAATCTATCATCACTGATTTACTTGGATCTTTATTTGATTATTTAGTTACTCCAATTAATAAATTGTTTTATTCTTTTTCTAATTTTAAATATTCTTCGAGAGCTCTTGTTTCTTTTAATAAAATCTATTTTTTTTAGAATGGCATATTCATTATTTCTTAATCCTCTTTTAATCTTGATTCAAATAGATGTTTTTCAATCAAATTAACTTTAGCCAATAATTCTTCACCTGTATATACTTATTATGTTTTTATTGTATTATTGTTATTCCTAAAAGTATTTGTAGTATTTCCCTTAACAAATGTTCTTCTACTACTTGATTTTGGATCTTATCCTGTCAATAAACTTAATTTCCTTTTGAAAATGTCTGGTTTACCTACAATTGATCGTATAACAATTTTATTATTCTCTAATTTTGGACCAATAGTAGAATCATATTTACACAATTACATACTTACTGGATCTTTGAAAATGTTTCTGGTTTATTATTATTATTATCCTATAGCATCTAAAATCTCTGTTTTAAATTCAGGATGTTTATCAATTGATTTGGCTAATAAATATCCTTTTTCCTTTGTTATATTCTACTTATTCCAAGGATTACTGTAAACTGAAAACATACTCTATTGATCTTACATAATAGAATCTATATATATATATAATGAATTCAATATAATATATAAATAATATAATTTTATGATATTATGTAATATTATAATTGAATAGGATTATTAAATATTAATTTATTACTAAAATGTTATAAGAGTAGAATGGCATAAGGAATGATGAAAAATAAATCAAATATGCCTTACTTAGTAAAGATTAAGCTGAATAAAGAAGTATGGATATAGAAAATTGTTAATATACTTTGGATTTAGTAGTAGAGAATGACATAATAATGGGAATGATTTTAATAAATTTTACTTGTTACAATGATCATATTAAGTTAGATTTTTGTGGTTAGTAAATTTAGAGTGTTAAAGTGAATAATAATGAATGGAGTTTAGATGAAATTGTTAAAAATTGGAAAAAACATTAATTATCTATTAATACTATAAAAGGTGAAAATTGCATAATGATAGCTTTCAGTATATAATTTTCAGAGAGTGAATTTGGATTAATAAAATATACTTAAAATTAGTCAACTTATATTATTTCTTTATTTTGTCCAAATTATTGTCATTCAGTATCTACAAATATAATATCATTAGTGTTTTCCTTGTTTTGATTAACCAGACATTAAGGCTAAGATTAAATTACAATTAATATGTCCAAAAGAATGGCTAGCTATATCAAATATGAATCCAAATTTAATTGAATAATGTTCTGAAACATAAAATCAATGGAATTTTGCAACTACTCCAAAAATTAGTCTCTATCTTTTCAGTTTAAATATGGGTTAATGGAAAAAGATTACTAAAGTTTTGAACTAAGGTATTCAAATGAATCTCTATACAGAATAAGATAAATATATCACTTGTTTGAAGTAATAAATATAAATTAAATTGAAGTTCATCAATTTTAATCTAAAAATGTATGGAAGAAGGATTTAATTATTATCAATCTTTATTCAATATTCCATTTCCATTTGAAAAATATGATTTGATATTTTGTACATTTTATTTCTCAGGAATGGAACATCCTGGAGCTGTATTAATTTCTAGAAATATGATATAAAATAGATTTGATTCTAATTAATTGACAAAATTATTTCTTTTATTATTACATGAACTATCACATATGTGGTTTGGTAATTTAGTTACAATGAAATGGTGGAATGATTTATGGTTAAATGAGGCCTTTGCTGTATATATCTCATATGAAGCATTAGCCTCAGTATAGTAATAGGAATCACTTAAAGGTTATAAGTTTAATGATACAAAAATACATTATTTATTATATAAATAGAATGGAGTAAATTTAGATATTAATTCACATTCACATCCAATAGAAATGAAGATTGAAGATGCAAATTAAGGTTTATAAGCTTTTGATTCTATTACTTATAATAAAGGTTCAGCTGTCCTTTCTGCTTTAGTTAAATTAATTGGTTTCAATGAATTCATAGAAATTGTTAAATAATATTTGGATAAATTTAAATGGAGAAATGCTACAACTAATGATTTATTTGATTTAATTCAATAATATTCTAAAGTTGTTGATATAGATAGATGGAGACGAGAATTTATATAATAAAATGGAATTAATGTAATTGAAATAATCACATAAGATTAATAATCAATTTTAAAGTAAAGTTCAATTAGTGGTAATGCAATTAGATAACATTATATGAATATCTTATTAATAAAAGAAAATAATTAAATGGAATAAAAATAAATAATGATGACTAAAGAGTGTCATTATTTATGTGAATCAAAGGACTATTCTGCTGCTATTCTAAATTATACTGATGATGCTTATTGTATTTCAACTATGGATGATAAATCTTTAAGTTTTATTCTTTCGAACTTTATCGAATTAAAATTATCAAATTAAATAAGAGTTTTAATACTCAATAATATATTTTAAATGACTTATATTCTAGGAACATTTAAAGTTAAATACTTTTTAGAATTTGTGTTACAATCTATGAATCAAGATATTGATGCTGAAGTATATTGTCATTCCCATAAACTCTTAGGTTTTAAACTTTATGATTGAAAAAGTAGAGATACTCTTTATGAATTTAAATGTTGAACAATAACTTAAGTTTGGTCCAATTATCTTTGATAAACTCTATTTACTTATATCACTCAATATTGAATTGAAAGAAATTATACACAATTAGATTGGAAACTTTGCCTTTAATTAAGAACATATCCATTAAATATATGAAATCTTAACTTTACATTAAAAATCTAATAGAAGTTTAATGTTATTAGGAAGATTTCTTGATTGTTTATTCTACAAAAAACATCTTTTAAATTAGGATCATCTCTAATCTTATGAATTATTTTGGAGTACATTAAAATCTTATAATCCAAATTTTGTTATTAGATAAAATGCTGCTGCATTTACTTTAGAAGAAATACAATAATATTTCAATTCTTTACTTCAAAACACAGCTGAATATAATTAAATGGAGAATATGTTTAAAGGAATTAATAATCCATACTCTTTGATATATGATTAATATTTAGAAATCTATTATTCTAATATTAAAAATTTATGTGCTTGTCTTGATTAACATAAAATCTTAATGTAATAATATTGTTTTATAATTTAGTGTACTTAATGAGGGATTCCCAAGATAAGGAGATTTTAATATATAATTGTAAATTTTAAATGAATTAAAATAAGAATTTCCAAATTTAAATTTTACACTAAATAAACTAAAATAGAGATCAATATAAAGATAAAAAATACAATAATCATTTGATTGAGTAGTGATATTTAATAATAATCATTATTTCATTAATTATTATAGTATTTATTTACAATTTTTTTCACTTTTATCAAAATGTAAACTAGGTTCAGTTTTAAATCTTTTCAATATAGTTTCAGAACGTGATTTGTTTAATTCTAAAAAATATTCATTATTTATTACTATCTTTTAAACTTTATAATTGATTTAATGTTTTCTAAATTGATTCTTATTTTTTTTATTTATCCTTTGAAAGACTTTCAATCAATTATTTAAGATGATCATTACAATTTTCTTTATTTGCCATTAAACTTACTTTCCTTTTTAAACTCACTTTAGTACTTTAATCAACAAAAGATTACTCTTCAACCTAAAATATACATTTCATAAATTTACAATAGTCTCCAATTATTATTGATAATGAGTATAAAATGATTAAATTAGATGATCTAAATATGGAGAATTATCATGTAACACATTACTTACAATATAAATCGATTTTAAATGGTAAAATTAAGACTTTTGTTCATTCTTTAAGTACCTAGTTTCAGAAGCAAGAGAAAAGTAGGCCATAGATAATAGAATTAATTTCTCAATTAAGACTTTTTAACTAAATTCATATAAGATTTCTCCTTTGAGACAAACCTCTTCATAAGAGAGCAATCGTATAAACATAATATTACTTACATTAAATGATAATAACCATTCATTTTCATTAAGTAAACCTATCATTGATCTTTGATATAGTTTAGAAAAGGTTTATTTAGATAATTTATCATTATTTAAAGAATTCAATTTTTATGTAAAAATATGATTTGCTATTTCTTATAATTTTGGTTGTTCCTCTGATTCTATTAATTAATTAGTAATAAATTATTTGATGAATTTAAGTAATTCATCAGATCTTTTTAGTAATAGATTCTTAAAATCATACTCTTCAAAAATATATTATCCTTTTTAATATTTTTATGCTTTTTTATTAGTTGTCAATTAACTGCTTTAATATTAATAACTGATATCGAAAAGTCTATTAAGTAATAAGATTGTAGAGTGTGCAACATTGGATGCCACTTAATGTTAATTCAATTGTGATAATATTCCACAATATTATATTTATACAACAGCTAATAGATGCATTCGTTTAATTAGAAAAACTTGATTGTTTTCTTATTGAATCATTTCTTATAAATTAAAAACAGTTCCTTCTAAGTATTAGGCAGCTTTATCTAGATTACATAATCTGAATATAGATTTAAGTAAATTTACGCTTAATTAACACCAGCAAGATTATAGATAATAGTAACTATGAGATTGCGATCTATGATTTTACCACAATCAGCATTGTATTATAATAGACCAAGAGCTCTATCTAGAATTTCTAGAGCTTATTATGAATCTGTTTATGCAAGTGCTTGTTTATTTAGTGATTCAATTACTTCCATGTTACGTTAATTATATATTAAAATTGCAAATTAGCGGGCAACCAGAAAAAAAATGCCACCAAGGAGAAATACTCAAAATAGCCATCGCATTTAGGAATTCTTCAGTAAGGGAACTAAGAAACAAAAGAAAGAAATAAAAGAGATGTAAAAACAATTTAAGAAGTGTCCATAACTTGGATAGGTTGGATCATAATTAAGAAGAGTATTGTCATAATACAGAGAGGAAATAATGAAAGAATTTAATTATGGAGATTTAGTAAAGTAAATAAGTGAAGTATCAAAATTGGACTCGATAGGAGAAATGTTGAATTCCATTTTATATTTGAATATCACTCGTGTGTCAGATTATTGGAGTGATTTATACACTCCTGATCATGTTGATGATGTAAATAACTATCTAAATTAGTTACTTAGTCAATAAAATACATAGATTTTAAAACATTGGCTTAAAAGTTCATTCTCAATACTAAGATAAGACTAAGTAGAAGATTCTGATTCATGGGATTCTTAATCTAACTCAATTAATAATTAAAATTGGAATTATTAGATGCTTAATATTTATGGTTCTAGTGGTAAAATGAGTACTATTGTTGCAATTGCTAGAACATATAATATTGAAGTCATTCTTACATATGAATATACAGAAAAAAAAGAATTTGAAGAGATGTTTGCAAGTTAACATATCAAATTCAAACCAGAACAATAAAATACTGAATTTGGAATTAAAAAGAAAATTATAATCCATAGAGGTGCTTTACCAAAATTTCTAAATTCTAGATTCTTATAAATTTAAAGAGTACCTTTCATTTGGATTACTGGTAATTTAATTCTCATAATATTAGATTCATGTCAAAATCATGAATTATTTGATGGTTTTGAATTACTTTAATATTAACATGATGACATTGTGAAATATTTCTATTTAATTCTTATAATTGAATATAATTATAGGGATTAATTAGATTCTATTAATAGTGAATTCAAAAAGAAAGTAATATATGAAAATTTGAAAGACAAAACAAAATAGGTTGATTTTTATAATAATTTCTACTTAATCAAACCAACAATTATAACCAAAGAATTAAATATTAAATTTGATTTATCAGAAATTAATATGATAACTTTGTAAATGAAAGGAAATGTAAGAAGTATTTTAAATTGGTTGCAATTTCATCATGAAGACTAAAGTACATGCACATTGATTATGTAAATGAAATTAAATTAAACTCATTTACAATATATGCTCAAAAATAATCTGCCTATTTTTAAAACTAATTAATTTGATAATCATTTTAATTTACATACTTAATAATGGCATGATTAATAATGCATTGAATTAGTAGATGATATTGTGGAATGTCGAAAGAATATTTTAAAAAATAATTATTCAAAAAGATCATTCAAATGCAAATTCAATCCATACCTTATAAATTATGTTATTAAGGTAATGTTTTTAAATATATTAATCTTATAGACAAATGCAATAAATACATAACAACGCACTTCTAGTACAAGATAACGAAGATTGAATAAAGAACCAACAGATATCTATAAACCACTTTAACAATTCTTTCAAGATGAAGAAGAGTATGAATGGTTTAAGCAATTCGATAAATCTTCTGCATTTTTGATGAACTGATAAAAGATGCTTTTAAAAAAATCTCTAATCATAACTATTTTTCAAACATTGATAATCCTCTTTTTAATCTTTTTACTAATTGAGATGGTGTTCTTGTTCGAGAAAATGTTTCATCCATTTCTTCCATCTGAGAGTGTTCTTTTATTACCTTGAACTTTGAAGACCCAGATCTAAAATTAGTTTATGTATTATTTTGAGACGTGACAATTGATGGACTAATAATTCTAATTGATCCTCTCTACTATGAACGTATAGTCATATTTTATCTACTCCTACGCATGGGTTCATTTAATAATTGATTCTATAATTATTTTTAATTCTATACATTGAGTATATCTTCCCTAACCTTATCTAAAAATGAGATCTTAAAATTCGGATGCTGAATGGGATTTGGAAAAAGAACATCCGGTAAAGTATTTAATCTCATTAATATAAATAAATATTATTAATTATTTTAACAATATGTAAAAGGATAAAAGAATACTTAATAAATTATAGTCAGTTTAATCTATGTCTTAGTCTTCTATAATTTATAATACAAAATTTCATTTATATATATATACATGATATTAATGTATTTATGTATTTATCTAATAATATAATAATATGATATTAATTAAAATTTTAGATATAGTCTTAAATAAGATAAATATAGATAATAATATAAATTATATAATTAATGAAATATTTAGATCATTATTGTTCAAAATTAATGAATCACAATTGAACATAATTATCCTCTAAAATTGAATGAATCTAGTTAAATGCTTACAATTGATTTATCTTATTAATCATGATAAAAGTTGTTATTCTTTAAATAGTTGCCTAGCATCATAAATTCAATTACGAATTATTCTATATTGAAACTTTAGGATTACCTATCCTTAAATTTGGCTAGAAATAAAATAAGTATTTAAATAATTAAAGATTAGGTTAATAATATTTTAAGGATTAATATATGATTTATCCTTAGAATATTTTATCTTAAGAAAAATCATTATACATATATATATTTATAGATTAATATAATAATTATTTTTATAATATATTCATTATTATCCATCAAATTAATCTATATCAGTAGTGATACCAGTACTTAATTAATATACTTCATTTTTTAATTCTTCGGTATTTTCTAAATATTAAAAATGAATATACATAAATAATTTAAGAATTATTATTATCTAAATTTATACAAATCTGGTATTCTGAATTCATCTAATAATTTCATTAATTCATATGCAAAGTATTTCAAAGTAATCTAATCTAAACTAACAAATTTAATTTATTCAAAAGCTATTTCATCATCTGTTATTGATCTAAGAAATAAATGATTATAATTTACTATAATATTGCTCTGATAAGAACTTCAGCATGAAATTATTTTGGAATTGAAAAGTTAGGGGAATTCTACTCAGTAAATGATATTGAATTAAATCCCTTTTATCTTAAACATACTTAATAACTCTAAAATATTAATTATAGATCTCTTGTATCCTTTAATAAATTAATATATAATCTTACTTAATAATATGGTAAACGTACATGATAGATTTCTAATGAATTAACATTATCACTTTTAGTTTTAATCAATTCTCCTATTTTCACTATTTTATATCAGATTTAAAAAATACTTTGTTGAGTGAGTTCATTAGCACTATTGTTTTTATTTCTATAAATTTAAATAATTCAAAGAATACCTTTTTGCTAAATAAGACCATGCAGGTTCATGAGATGCATTCACTAAAATGAATTGCAATTAGTACCAACAACATCTGATAAATCCTCAGCTATATCTGCCTGTATAATTGAAATAGTTGTTTATTTGATTGTTCTGGTTGTAATTATTTTGGATTCTGGTTATAAAACATGTTTCTTTTCTTCATCTAATCCACATATATCTGAATATTTTTAATAATTATACTGTTTCCCATAATATAAATATAATTCTTTTGATTAATTAATTTATTTTATGACAATCGTAAATAACGCTTTCATAGCGTCAGTTCTAATCTATTCATTTCTATTTGATACTAGACTCCTCTACATATTTCTTGGTATCATAGGTAATAATCAATTTCATTTCATAGCTATTTATCAGGCATTATCCTATTTTTTCTATCCTTCTGTAGGTTATGGATCTGGTAGAAGAAGATTATCTTAAGCACTTTGGAGTCCACCAACTGAAGGAGTTATTCATAATTTAGTAGAAATAGACTTGACAAACACTATGAAATATCTATCAAGTAAATCAGCAAAGTATTTATATTATTATTATATAAGAGATTCACATGTTACATTAACACATATTTGTATTAGAGCAATTGCTGAATGTATTAATGTTAGTAGAAAGAAAATATGTGGAAAAATAGTATTTGGTAAATTTGTTGAATTTCCTACAATTGATATATCATGTTTAGTAAATATAGGTGAAGGAGATGATTTAGCAGCATTATTAGTTTAAAATGCTGATAAGAAAACTTTTGAAGATATTGCCGAATATATCAATGGTAAAGCAAAACTAGCCAAATAAGGAAAAGATGAAGAACATCAATAAAGATCAGGCTTACTTAAATATCTTCCACCATTGTAATTTTAATTATTTTATTGATAGTGCTATTGGTTTACTTATCTAAGTTACATCTTTTCTTACTTATAATTTGGGAATCACAATCAAAGCATTAGGTTTAAAGAAAGATTGTTTTGGAGTTGCTACAGTGACTTCTATAGGAACTCTTGGATTTAAAAATGCAATTGCTCCATTCACTCCAATGATGAGAAACTTATTGATTGTCACTGTTAATTAAATTGTAGAAAAAGCAGTTGTTAAGAATGGATAAATTGTTATTGCACCTACATTTTAATTGAATTTTTGTACTGATCATAGATTCTTAGATGGTGGTGCTATTGTTAAATCAAATAAAGTCTTATATGATGTATTTGAGAACCCAGAGAAATATGCAAGATAATGAATATTTTATAAAATAAATTTCTAAATTTAAAATAATATTCAATCAACACAAACATAATGGACAGAAATTATTTTAAATTTTTAATTAATTGTTCCTTTTAAAATAGTAATAACAATATAGTGTCTAACATTTTTCAAGTTTATAATCTTTAACAAGTTTATTCAATTGATTTTGTAATAATTTATGTCTTAATAATATTTAACTATTCTTTTCTTGAATAAGCAATATAATCTGGGCTGACTGAGTCTAATTACATAAACAACTTAAAGAAGAATTACATTAATTTTCTAATTAACCAAAGAATATTGATACTAAACATTCTTCATGAAAGTTATGGTAACATGGTAATTATATTCTGTTTTTATCAATTGACATATTACAAAAATAACAAATATCTATCTATGAAATTACTTAAGAGGTAATTTCATTATCAATATAAATTTCTGATTAACAAAGTTTGGATGATGAAATACTTGTTATTCGTTTTATTTTTGTTACTTCTCCTAATAATTTTTCAATTGTTTAATTATTGAATCGTTACTCAAATATTGTGGAGTTAAATGTAGTTGAATTACCATCAGTTGAGATTATTTAAAATTCTAATTTTTTCTATTGGATTTAAGAGTCTTTAATCGATTAATACCTAATATCATCTTATAAAAGTTTATAAGCTTTTTTGTATTCATCATTTTCCTTCTAAATGTCAATTAACTAATGTTAAATTTCGATTAACTAATTTTAAATTTATGAAAGAGATTTCACATAAATGATCAGGTCTTGATTTTTTGAAATTCTTTTCTTAAATTAGGAAAAACTTTCATCAAAATAACAGATTACATCTTCACTAAAAACCAAAATATCATTATCTCCACCATGAAATTCTTTTATTTTTTAGTACACCAAATCATTTTTATTCGCATTTGAAGAGTGAGCTATATTATTCTTATCTACAATAGTTATAGGTAAGGACATTAATATTTATATTAATAATAATAATTTATATTTTTAAATTAATAAAACTTAAATCTGAAACGTTCCATCATTCTATATTTAATACTTCTATATGGAGTTCAAATTCTTTTCATTTATGATATAGTCTTTATTAAAAATGTATAAAAAAATAAAAAAAATATTCTATAAAGTATTACATTTTTATGGATTCCAATAATATTTTTAAGTATAGAGTAATAACAATCTATAGTTTTAATTTTTTTGGAAGTAATAAGTTATACAAAATTGGTATATACTAATCACTTGCTTTTTAATTGCTTTTCTATCTTACAATTAACTAAGAATTTGTAAATAGTTATTTTTTTTAATTTCATTTTTAGCATTATTTTATTATTTATCTTTTTTACTTAATCCTTATGATTTTCATATTTTCAAAACCTATCACATAAATTCTAAGAGAGATTGAATTCTTATCTAACAATTCTTTAAATTTTAAATCATACAATAATTTATTAGATTATTTTTAATTAAATTCAATATTTATTAGTATTAAATAATAGTTAATTAAATATTATATATATATATATATATATATAAATGATATATTCACCAGCAAATATTAAACATAGATTAAGGTAATCTACTCCATTTATTCAAAATTTAGATTTTTCTTGCTTCACTAACAATTTTCTTCAATTCAGGATTTCTTTAAAGAGATATTTTTAAATCAGTTAGAATAGTACTCCATGGATTGGCTCCATAGATTAATAATAATTTAACAATTTCTTTTTAATTTTCTGATATTGCAATACTTAATGGAGTTCTATTCATCACATCAAGAGCATCAAAATCAGCATGATATTATAATAAGATTTTAACTATCTCCAAATGGCCATGTTTACATGCCCAATGTAGAGCTGTCATATTATAATAGTCGTATTGAAACACTAAAAAGGGTTGGGTCTATAACAAATTTTAAATTTAGTCAATATTGTTGGATTTTGCAGCTAAAATGAATTCTTTTGAATATTAAGATGCAAAAGCTGTTTTCTAAAATATTTATTATGTCATAATCTCAGGTATAGTGAGGCCAAGTAATTAAATTTTCTTTAAGGAACGCATCAATAAGTTAATTTTTCTATAATTTTTCATTTTATTAGTGCTTGGAAAACATTTAGAAATTGTAGGATTTAATTTTGGAGTAGATTTAACTGATAATTCTTGAAATCTCAAATTCGGTTTTTCTAAGCAGATATCTTAAAATGGATTTTCAATTTTTGGTCGATTTTAAAGATTTTATGATTTCAGTTCTCTTATTTTTGTATATTATAAAGATGATTAAGTTTCTTAATTTTATTAAGCAGTTTTTGGTTTTTATTCAAAGAAAAATCCATTATTATTTTATTAAGTTTATTTAATAAATTTGCGATGATTGTGGCTAATGTTTTTTGAAGAATGACATTACTATGGTTAAATCGCTTCTACATTTTTATAATCTTCTATATTGTAATGAACCAAATGTTTAAGGGAATGATTTCTTAAGAATTCCCTAATTTGGTTATCGCTTGGAATGTTGATCTTTTCTTTCTTAATCAAAGATATCATCTTATTAGGAGGCAGAGCAAAAAATTTATAATCGTAATCTATTTGGTTGAAGCATTGTACCTTTAACAGCCAAGCGATGTTTGAGTTCAGGAAACCAAGGCTTGGCTGTATTAATCATACCTCTGTTTGGAGTGGTTTACTTATTGATTATTCTTTTGTAATAATCTTATTCAAACATTTTATAAGTATTAAATTATAAAATATATATTTATTCATTCTGATCCAAAATCATGGTCATTCTTTTTCAAAATCATCTTCATATCCATGTTTCTTTAAATAATGTATATCATCAAGCATAGCTTTTTCTTCTTTATTGAAATATTCATCTCTATTCATAACTCCATTTTACTTGAGCATTTTATCAATCTTATTCAATTATTTCATTTTCTCTAATTATACATCTCTTTTTGTGGCTAATCATATTTTTATAAATGATATTACGTCTTTCAACAAGCAATGGTTATTCAGTAGCCTTCCTTTTACAATTTTCTATAATTTGTTTTTATTTCATTTCTTATTCTTTAGATTCTTTTTTTAATTAAGCAATTCTATCTTTCCTCTATTATTCAAGTTTCTTGGAATTATCTTAAATGGCTTCTGATTATTGTACTCTTTATTTGAACTTGGAATTATAAGATATAAATAAATACTTTTTCTTTTCTAGCTAATCTTTCTTATTCTTCTTTTTTTATTTACTCTTATTTTTCAGCTTTCTTGATTCTCTCTTTTTTCAAGAATTCACAATTACTTTCCCATTTTTTAGTAGAAGGTGGTTATCTAGCAGGTTTGATACTCATTTTTTTTCTAGCTTCTTCAATTTTATCCTCTTTAACTGTATTTATTTTTGTTTCATTTTCTCTATCAAGATATGGTCTATCAACACCTTTATGAGATTATTAGAAATTAAATGGTTCAGGTTCAGTAGTTCTCATTTATAATTTTTTTCGATTTAATTGATCTTAAAAGGATGAGTGTAATTTATCAAAATCTGGTATGGGTTTAGCTTTGTAAGAAATTTAAGTTTTCATATATTTTGGAGATTAAGGTTATCCTTATTTTTATCTTTCATGCATTTCCATTCTAGGTGGCATTCTAGAACTCATAGCTAATTCTTAAGCATGTTTAGCAATACGTTCCTTTCTTTTAGTTTCTTCATCTTATTCCATTTATCTAAGTAATTCTACATGAACATGCCAAGGTATTGCTTTTGCCTTAAAAACAAATTTTTCTCTTTCTTCCCAATACTTTTTTCTTGGTTTTTTTGAAGAATTTTAATCTCTTCTATAAAATGAAAATGGTCTTTCATTTTTAAGAGTCATTTAAACACTATTTTTTTTAACTTCTTCTCTTCTTTTTTCATTATCATTTATAATTTTTTCATAAAGACCATCTTATTTAACAATTTAAGGTATTTCTTTAGCCTTAAAACTTTTAAATGAATTATTTCTTTTCTTTTCATCTAACATTTCTTATAACTTTCTTTCTCTAATTGATAGAGAACGTTCTTTTTCTCTTTTATCAAAATTAAATGGTTATGGTTGAGTAACTTTAAATTGATAATCACTTGGTTTTGAATGAGCTCCATATTATGGTTTAGGTTAGATGGCAGATAAGAAATCTTCTTTTGTAATAGGTGTTTTAGATGGTAATGATTTTTTACGATGAGAATATGTCAATAATGCTTATTAACTTGGATGTTTTTTTATTAATCTTTCTCTAGGTAACATCTTATCCTAATAAGTGTGCAATTCTGGATCTGAATCATAACCATCTATTCTATTTTCATTATTCTATAATGCCTCAGTTACATTAACACTTCTAGCTAAACTTGCTACTTCTTCATTAAATTTAGGTTGTCCTCTTCTTGTAAAATAACTCATAAACTCTTAAAATGTCAAATATTCCTCTGCTGTTTCTTCTATTCTTTTTAATATTTATTCTAAAGTTTCTTCTTTTATATCACTTTTTTTTGATTGTTTTCTAATTATTTATTTTCTTAATTATGAATAGAGTGGTGCTCTTCTAATACATTCAATAAGATCAAAAGCTGTTACATAATCATCCATTACAATTTTATTGAATTACTCTTTGATCAATTATTATAATTCTTCAGGAGCATCAATTCTATCTTAATCATCCACTTATTTTTAAGACTCCTTTAGAGTAGCAAATGATAATTGTTATTTACTTACCATAGCATCATATTCAAATGCATCCATAAATTGTTTCCAAGAAATATAAGGAAATTCAAAAGCTTAGGCTTCTAATTATGATAAGATAGTTTCTAAATTAAGAATTTTATCAATTGCTGAAACATATGCTGCTTAAACATGCAACATTCTCACTACTTATATATCATTACGAAATGCTTATATAAGTTCTTTTCTTTAAGCAATCATATCATTTTATAATGTATCAAATATATTCTTCAGAATTTATATTTA